AGACAAACCATTGGACTGTAAGTGGAATAAATAACATACACTCAGACCACTGGTAGCAATATTCATAAGATCCCTTAAGCTATCAAAAAATGGAAATCAAGGTAGGCATAAACAAGATAAGGGTAAACCCAATAAGACCAATGACACTCGAGATACATTAGATAAAACGGACCCGGAAATATCCCATCCAAGAGCCCAATTAAAGCATCTAGTATCGAAAATGGAAAAAGCTTAAAGGTTAAGGGTCTTTGTGAGCCAGTCGTTTATCAAAAATAATGTAAGTATTGAATAAGCCCACCAGGAGGATAATTGAAAAATTATCACGTTCAGTAGGAAAAAATGACAAACAAAGATACCCAATTAGACAGCATATTTAGTGAATGGAAAAAAACCAACCAGATGTAGTATACACAAAAATAAACCGAAAGTTCCATTGAGGGACTATTGCAATGAGAATTTGGCAGTATGGTTTGGGAAAGTAAAAAATATGGGCACCAGCACCAGTAAACCCGTTTATGAAATCAAAATCTGAGCTTAAGAACTAATTTGACAAGTGTGCTCACAATGCAGTGATGCTCACTGACAAAGAAAATCTGATATAAGAAAGATTGACCCGAAGAGAAAAAGTGGCATGGAGGGACTATAAACCACTATCTCGTATGTAGTTTTGTGTCTACCAAGCAACAACCTTGTAAAGAGCCCAACTTTAAAAAAAAGAAAAAGGAGTTTACACAGTGATACATACTGTAGACAGGCTTTCTTACCTATCAGGCGTTTTGGCAGGCGCAATGTTTGTTTGTTCTTTCTTGACACCAGGAGAGCCTACAATTGGTGAATTCATGACGAAGGTGGGTAGAAAGGGTAAAATAGGAGAAAGATCGGGGACATAACAGCGAGAAGCATATAGTTTGGGTAATGTTTGACTAAGAATGGAGCGGCTGTGGGGTCGTGATACCCAATCCTTTCCCTCAGTCAATTCTGCTGATCGGATAAGGCCACACCCAATCACCGCAATTAAAGCTGAAAAAGAACGGCTTCAAAGAGCACAATAGAATAAAAATAATCCAAAGACAAATGTGTGCAACGAGGCTGAGGACCCAGAAGGGAAACAAGGACCTGAAGAAACAAGTCGATACAAGTAGTCGCCAGTTTAAATACTAATCAAGAGCAAGTCCTATTTAATAATACAGTAAAACCAGGAATCGAGTTAAAAGCTAACTCCATCAGAATAACCAAACCCATAAATAGGACAAAATTAGGATCAATGGCTTAGCACCAGACCATGTAGTTAATATGCAGAGGTTCAAACGCTCATTATTTAGGTCAGATAGGTGCATGTACTACCCATGTTCATAAGGAAAAAGTGTAACATTCAAGAGGTCATGTTTAGTAATTTGGAAAATGCGTTACATC